CACCTCTACTGTTCATTGTATACTTGCGACCTCCCAGCAAAGTTATCAGCTAAGTCTGTCGACCAAGGCCTAGATTGATGGTAAGAATTGAAATTACCTAGTGTGCTTTGCCTCCGCTCGGATTTGAACTCTAGACCTCATGGTTCTACTCCTACTTCATTGACCACCAGTCCATACCCTTGGCCCTTGGGGGTGCGACACTTCTCTTTCCTTTTAGGAACTGCTATAACATATGAGCAAACCATTTACAGTCTATGTGATTCAGTACTTTACCAGTTATTAACTCCATAAGATTTCTTCCCGTTGGGATGCTTTCCATAAGTTCACCATTATTTTAATTCTGTTTTGGCTCTCAAATCTGCTTCGTATAACTGAAGTACAACTTAAATCTTGTATATCATTTGTTTCTTACCTTAATAAAATCTGAATTCTGGTGCAGATGGTATTCTTCTTGTTGAAGTTGATCGATTATTAAGGCCTGGTGGATATTTTGTCTGGACTTCAACTGTTACAAATACTCAGCGCTCCCTCCGCAACAAAGTGAGCCTGAAAAAATGGAACTTTGTCCGGAATTTTGCTGAAAGTATGTGTTGGGAGCTGTTGGCACAACAAGATGAAACTGTTGTATGGAAAAAGACAAGTTTAAAGAAATGTTACTTTGCAAGGTGTGCAGACCACGTCCACATATCTTCATTTCAATTTTTATCATTTCCTGACCCTCAATTGGTCATATCTCTGATCTAGTGACATTGTAATCAATGATTGTGTGACTATGAAGAGTTGCTTCTATTTACAGGAGACCAGGTGTTGGGCCTTCTCTCTGCAGTAAAGGACAGGACATTGAATCCCCGTATTATCGACCAATACAAGCATGCATTGCTGGAACCCAAAGCCGCCGGTGGATTCCTATTGAAGAAAGGACAAAGTGGCCTTCTAGGGCTAAATTAAACTCCAGCGAACTTAAGATTCATGGTAATGGTGTATTCTCATTTTCAAAAGTTTTAAATGTGGAGCACTTTGTTACATGCTGTTATTTAGTTTCCTCTGAACATCTAATGATAGTGCTCTGTGTTTTATTAGGTTTGTCATCTGAAGCTCTTGCTGAGGATTCCCTTAACTGGAATTCAGCAGTTAACAATTATTGGTCACTTCTTTCACCTTTAATATTTTCCGATCACCCAAAGCGACCTGGTGATGATGATCCTTCTCCTCCCTATAATATGCTTAGAAATGTGTTGGACATGAATGCCCATTTTGGTGGTCTGAATGCTGCTCTACTGGATGCTAGAAAGTCAGTTTGGGTCATGAATGTGATTCCCAGTAGTGGGCCTAACTATCTTCCCCTAATTCTCGACAGGGGATTTGTTGGTGTTTTGCATGATTGGTAATTTCTCTTCTCTTTCTCTAGTGAAGGAATCCACTTGATATCTACTCCTAAAACATGCAATATTTGCTAGTTTACATGATATAGAGAATGCGACATGCATAAATCTGTCAGTAAGTTGAATTTGGATGATAGCTTCAAATTCGCCCTAACTCTAATGTTTCCTAATAATTGATGTACCTAACAAGTCATGTTATTTGGTTGAACTACAGTATATCAAACTTGAACTACCAGATCACTATTAAGCCTACATTCATCCAGTCTTTTCAAGTTTGATCAGTATATCCCCGTATGAGTTGTTACCACTTTTCACAACCTGTTGGCAGCGGATCCAGAATTTCAAGTATATGAGTTCTTATAATGATCTCAAATTAATATGCAACAATAATTGAATTTGCACTTAAATATTTATAGATATTTAGTGGATTTCTTGATATATATACTTGTCCGGCAAAAGCTATTGGATCCGCTGAACCCATAGATCGTCTCTAGATCCATTTTGTTCCGCGATCTATTCGGTTATAACTAGGTTCATTGACTAGATTTCCTTCACCAAGACACCATCTTTCCGCAGAGTTTCTTTGCCCTTATTCACATGAAAACAATCTTTTAGCTTTGGCTTTAAACCTTCAAACTTAGAGAAGGTTTATGCTAATTAGTAACTCATTTTTGTGATCGAGATGAAGAGGTAGCGTGTATATCATAATAAGGAACAAAGCACTGATAACTGATTAGCATGTTTTCTGGTCTAAACTCTAGCACTTCTATTGATCTTTTGGAGCTTTATTTTGTCCACTCAAAGGAACTTGTAGGGTACTGGTTTGTGCTTGATCAATTGTATTTCTGGTGTTAAGAGAATAACCTATTGTATAGATAGTTGTAAAGAATCATACATGCTAGTAGATGAGTCGTGTTAACACACTTGGACCAACTTCTAAATATTTTTGATATCGGCGTGTTTTCAGTAATGAAAATGTTCACTTATAAAAAAGATGGTTGATTGCAGTTCACATAAAAGCAGTTCATCTTGATCCATAAACTTTATCAAACCGACTTTATTTTATTTGTTTATTTAATTTCTTTTGGGTGGATTCTGTAACTAATTTTGCTTACTATTTCCTTTGCAGGTGTGAGGCATTTCCAACATATCCAAGAACTTATGATTTGGTACATGCTAATGGACTTCTTTCACTGGAATTCGGCAAACATAGCAGATGTCCGATGTTTGATCTGTTTATTGAGATAGATCGTGTTCTTCGTCCGGAGGTATGTATATTTGTTAGCTACACTTTGCTAGTCCTCACTTTGTAACCATGCAGCAGTTAGATGGAGTTCTTGATAGTCAACAAGCAGTGACTTTTCATGCTCTAATGGTTATAATGGTGCAATAGGATTAGAACTAAGACAGCTCTGTTATGATTCATCCACTTCTTTTACAATCAACTGAAGTGTGGTTCTCAGAATCAGAGGTCCTTAAAAGTCTTGGTGGGATTTGGGTTGCAAAAAGAGTTGTGTGATTCAGCCCCTCTTGTTCTCCACTCCCATCTTTTGATTGTTCTGCTCTCCACTCCCATTAGTGGCTACACTGGGAAGTCTTTTTCTTAGCTAGAAAAGCATTGAAGTGGGCTCCATAAGTACAGAACATAGTGGTCTGATGCTGCAGCATATAATACCCCTCAAATAGTTCTGTACTTCTCAAAAGAACTGTATTTCCATTTTTTTCTTAGTTTATCCTTGTCCTATCACTAGTTTTTCTCCCTTTTTCCCTCTCGTCCTTTGTTATAAGCATCCTTTTCTTCCTCCCACTCATGCGCACTGGACTGCAACTTTGAATGAGTACAGGTTATTATGGTTTATATTCACTCTTTGCCACCTGAATACTCTGCTTACGTATGGGATATCTATTATTTCTACCTCAACATGCCATTTAGCCTTTGATCTTGTATGCCAAAACCCGGACACCCACGTTCAGCCGTTTTTAATGTACCGAATGCTGAGTAACATCAACACACACTAGTGCCATGCATATGCTCATTTCGGTTAGTTGTTATCTCTTGACTGAGTTTTTCTTTGTCACTTTTGCTAACCGCCAATTGCATGCTGCAGGGCTGGGTGATTATACGCGACACTGTCCCTCTTATTGAGTTAGCAAGATCTCATGCAGCACGGTTGAAATGGGACGCGAGAGTTGTAGAGGTAGAAAGCAGTGACGAGAAGCTACTAATTTGCCAGAAGCCATTTTCAAGAAGACAAGCCAGCTAAAAAATTGGCAAGGATGTCAAGGTTGTAGATGATAATAGTCATTTGTTTGTTGGCTCATATTATTAAACAGCATAAAATTCACACGGAAGGGCGGAAAGGAAAATTTTTGGACAGTCAGAAAAGCAAGAGAGAACAAGAAGAGAAGAAAACAGATGGGTCCTGGAATGGGACCAACCACAACTCCTGTGTAGCCGTAAGGTGTACATAGGGCCATGTAATTACACATTTGAGGCGCACAGTGCAAAATGGGGAATTGTTTTAGGGCTATTACTACACAACAACCATATGTTGATTGAAATTGTGAAGGTATTTATTTATAGAATAAGGGCAATCCTAGCTGCTGTAGCATATCTCAATTGCTTTGCTTTGCTTCTGGCCCCTTTCCCTGCACTTCTCTTTTTTTTTAAAAAGAAATCCTTTTTGATAGTTTATTCTAATACTCTCTGGCAAGTGATTCCAGTTCATTTTCGACAAAAGTTCTACCTTTTGACATTGTCTTTGGTATGGAGTAAAATGTTTTTCAATTTTTTTCATCTTTCATATTAAATTTTGAAGACACCGACGAAATAAGTTCCACGCAGGGACATTTCATACTAATTCTCTTCACCCCTCAAACACACTTCATCACTATCTCCACCCTCATTTCCCCTATCCCCGCCATTCCTTCCTCTGCCTTACCATGTCTGTGTAAAAATAAATAAGAAAATTATTTATTTATAGAGAAATAGTTTTTCAAGAAAAACATTTTCTTTTCTATTAAATACACTTTATAATAGAAGGCCTTGATTAGTTGCTAAATTGTTGTAGAAATATAGGATGCCAGCCATCAATTCACAACCACAGTCTCAATCGCCAGTTACCTACCATTAACTATCAATCTATCGTCATCATAACACCTCCCCAATTTATAATTTAACACAATTTTTTTAAAAAATAAATAATTTTAATTATTCGGACACCATCTTAATCCTGAAATAAAAATCACTTGAAAAATAAGGAAAACTTATACAAACTTGGAAAACAACATTAAAGCAGTACTAACAATTATGGAACTTTGGTCTACACATCATAATCTCAAAAAGTAAAAGGAAATTGCAATAGGTAAGAATAAAATATAAATTGGAGAGAAGGCAATTGTAATCTATCCAAAAAGAATGACATAATGTGGACATTAATACTAATATTTGCTGGCATTAAAGTTTAATTCGTCAAAATTTTTAAAATAAATGCAGATATCTAAAAACTAAAAATAGATAATAATAGTTTTATTATTAACCAAAACTATCATTTTAAAAAATTATAAGCAAGACATGTTCAAGGGTTGAATAGGAAATTTTCCAAAATAAGCCAACAACCGACCTTAGCTCAGTTGGTAGAGCGGAGGGCTGTAGTGTGCTTCATAGCAATCCTTAGGTCGCTGGTTCGAATCCGGCAGGTCGGAGTTTTTTAAATTTTCATCTCATCTCTTTCTTCTTGCTTTTTTTTTTTTATCCTTCTAGTGAATCCGAAATCATTAAACCCTTGTCTATCATTTCTTAAACCCTTCACTGCAGCATCGAATAATCAAAATTTTAACCTTACACAAATGACAGTTTGGCGTCTCCTTTGGACCAAAACCACCACCATTTCTTCCATTTCCAAATCCCCAAATTCCCAAAACCCTATCTCCACTTTCTCTCAATTCACTTCCCAGTTCAGACAACTTTCCACTTCTTTCCTCGTCACCAAAACCCCCAAGAAATTCCGAAAGAAACGAAAGAAAAAGGAATCCCCACGTACAAAATTGGTTCAAACTCAACCAAACATCATCCCCCATTTCGAAAACATTCTTTTACGTGATACCCATTTCAGATTCCTCACTAAAACCAAAGAATTCCTCTCCAAACAACCCCATCATGTCCTCCGCCTCGACGATGCCGGAAAGCTTCACCAGCAGCTGGGTTTCCCACGTGGAGGCAAGGTTGCTCGGTCCCTCCAACGACACCCTTCAATCTTCGAAATTTATCGGCATACTGATGGTAAGATGTGGATTGGTTTCACTGATTTTATGGAACAATTGTTGGATGAGGAATGTCAAATAATGAATGAAATGGAAAGTGATAGAGTTAATGTAGTTAGGAAATTGTTAATGATGTCGAAAGACAAGAGGATTCCTTTGAGTAAAATTTATCATAATAGACTTTTATTTGGTATACCAGAAGATTTTAGGGACAGGATAGGGAAGTATGAGGATTATTTTAAGGTGGTTGTTGAGGAAGATGGGAAAAGGGTAGTTGAGCTTGTGAATTGGGATCCTACATTGGCGGTGAGCGCTTTGGAGAAGGAGTATATGGTTGACGAGGATAAGGTGAAAAAGGCCTTTAAGTTTCCGATAAAACATGGGAAGGCATTGGATTTGGATGAAGGTGATGCGAGGAAGTTAAATTTGTTGTATACATTGCCATTGGTTTCGCCTTATTCTGATGGGAGCAAGCTGGATTTGTGGACTGTGGAAGCAGAGAAGTTTAGAGTTGGACTGATTCATGAGTTCTTGAGCTTGACATTGGAGAAGAGAGCTTATATACACAACATTGTGGAGTTCAAGGAGGAGTTTTGTCTTACGAAGCATACTTATCAGATGCTCTTGAAACAGCCTCGGACATTTTACTTGGCTGGTACAGAAATGAATTGGTCTGTTTTTCTAAAGGATGCTTATGGGGAAGATGGGGTTTTGCTAAATAAGGATCCACAGGTGCTGTTCAATGAGAAACTTTATAGATATGCAAACATGAAAGTATTGGAGCCAAGCAGTCATACCAATGAGACATGAAAGGTTGAATTAGCTTTTACTTCTTGGGTAACTTGTTGTGATGATGGAGCTTCATAGAGAAGAGTTTGCACCAAGAGCACAGAAAAAGAACCAACTTGCGGTGGACTTCTTCCACCGACATTATATTATATCAAAACAACATAAAAATTGAGGTACCTGGAGTTGTTTCGAACTCTTATTCACCATTTTCCTGCTGCCTATGGTCTTTCAGCTGTAATCACACCAACACTTTATCTTCTCCAAAATGTAGAGCACTATTGCGTTCAATGTAAAAAATTACTTTTCAGAAGAAGAAATATAATGTGGAAAACTATTGCATTTCATTGTATAAGATAATATTCAGTGTTCTACTATTATTTGAGAAGTTTGATAGACTAATTCTGAATTTAGTTTAGCCATGACTCCATGAGTAAAATCTCTTTTATTTCTCTCTATCTGCATGAAAGTTACAACCTTGCATACCTCAGCTTCCCATGGTTTATCTTGTATTTTCATTCAATTGCGATATCTTCGTTTACTATCTATATTTCCACATGGTTCTTTGGATAGATAGGATGGTGCTCTGAGCTGGTATAATATGCATATTTTGTGAAGACATGACAAAATTATGATATAAAATACATTGCACTTGTCTGAAAATAGAAATACACAACTCAATGAGAAATACATCAAGGAGAAAATACTGTACATTGCACTTTTGCACAAGTTGGTTTTGACACTAACATTACTTGAAGAAAAAAATAAGATGCATCAAGGAAAATAAAACTGTCTTTGATTAGGCCTACCTAACCACAAAGCCTAGGATTGACCTCTTTGTCTTTGTATTATGGTGGTTCAACATTTTATTGTATCCCTCTTCTTAAATTAGCAGCACAGCTCATCTATGTTGCTCGGAATCTTTAAAAGTATAAGATGGGTTCGTGTCGAATTCTTCAAAAATAATGAATTTTTGGAGGAACCGACACAGACACGGCAACATTTTAAAAAAGTCTAAGAAAACATATCAGGTAAGTAATAATTCTTTTTTTTTACAAAGTTGGACTTCAGTGACAACCAACTCATTTTCTCTTGGGAATTTATGTCAAGAGACCAGAGCCCCTTGTTATTGCAGTAAAACCAGAGCATAGGCTTGAGGAAATAGTGTTCTACTGAATAGAAGAAAATAATTTGTATGTTATTTTTAGATGTCTTATTATGCGTAACTATAAAGATCTCTTACGAAAAACATGTAAAAACTACAAAATCAAGCTAAAGTTGGCGATAGCCGATATGTGTTAAAAGGAAGATTCTGGTTATTTATCTTTCAAGATATGTGTCCAATTCATGTGTTACCCCCATTTATTGATCTTTCAATGGAAAAGGATAGCCCAAAAATAGACAGAATTATCACTATGAATTGCTTAACTGTTTGAGGATGTTTACCTTTATTCTATTTCTCTCTTAAATATCCTAAAACAAGGTGTGGAAGATTCTATAGAAAAGCATCTTTAAAGCATATCATTCATCAGTTGCGTGATGCTCTTGGCCCATTTATCCAATAATGCGTTGTCAATTTTGTCAACAACAAAAAAAAGATTCATCTTTCCAAGCTAATAATACGACTCATTTTTACTGGTCATAGTTCAAAATTTTCAGTCCACAAAAAGTTGGAAACTTTTTTATGACTATAAGAAATTAAGAATCATGATTGTGTGGCTCAGAAAGTGTTTTTTTTTTGTCTCCCAACCCTTTAGATTTTGACGTATGATGAGGGAATTTTTGCCTTTCACCGAAAGCACAACGTATTTTTGGATTGTCTCTGCTCTTTAAGTCAAAGATTCTTCTCTCCTTTTTTCTTTTTCCCTTGTGAAAAATAGGGAACAGGTAATTTTCTTGCTTATTATAGCTAATCAGAAATTGAACTTCAGCTGCTAAACCTCAAATTTTACCCACTATTAAAAGTAGTCGTCAGGAGCCATTTGAGCCCTCCTATATTCATTGTTGGACCTTGTTATCTTGCAAACAAAGAATGTTATAGTTATCATGCCGGAAAAGAATGTTATACAGACCTTCGCCCTTTTTTGCTTGAAGCTCTCTTTCCGTTTCCCACTACGTGCTAATTAATTTCACCCATGATCAATTGGATGACTAACTTACAATGTATGTGGTTAACCTATGATCAATTGGATGACTAACTATAAATAATGTGGTGAGATGAATGAAATATATCCATGCGTAACCAAAAGTCTAAGTTTGAGCCCTAGAAATGAAACAAAGGAAAATGGTCATATTTACTTGAAAGCTCTAGGAATGAAACAAGGGAACGCGAATTCAAGTTATGCCATGGTTAAACTAAAAAAGATATTGGAATGGATTAGTCAAAATTTAACTTAAACACTTCCATTAGCTTTCTTTAGGTTCTATACAACAAATCAGCTCCTTAAGGAGCACAACAACAATAACGTCATACCCAATATAATCCCATAGATATTTCTGTTTTTACTCGCAATCCGTCAGCAAGATATTTCCCAGAAGTGGGATATCCTCGCAAAGTAGTGTCAAAAGTAGGTTTACTTATCCAAAGTTGCAGTTACTTCTTAGAACAAAAAGATTTAACACAAAATTCAATATCAACCAGAAGCAGAGGCAGAGAATATTTATAAAGGTGCAAATTAATGTGGAAAAACATGCAAATTGAACAAACATAGAAAGCCACAAGTACATGGCTTTTAAACAGACTTCCAGAATGAAAATGCAGAATGAGGAAGAACCTCCACAATTTAACATGAATATCTAAATCACTCCTCTCTTTTGAAGAACAAATTAAAAGAACAGATAAACAAAATGGAAACCCGCAGTGGAAACCATGCTTTCTCGGATTGCACTGTCCGAAAGCATGAAACATTTTGGAACAAGGAGATGCTAGAGCACATCACTTGGCCTTGGAAGACTGATGTTGAGTTCGGCTTCTTAGCCTATGCCTGCTCTTTTGAGCAACACTGGCGCTGCTCCTATGCACGCTTGAAGATGAAGAAGCTCCAGTGCTGACCTTCCTGGTTGCTCTCCTATGAGTGCCTCGAATGCTGCTGCCCAGTGCTGCTTTTGCTACTGCTTCTGTTCCTACCTCTCGTGCCTTTTGTGAGTTAATTGGCTGTTTGTTCAGGAAAGCTAGTTTTGGAAGCAGGCTGCGAACTGCCTTCCGCAGTTGGTCATCACTTACATTGATCTGAATTGGATTGCCCAATAGATTCAGAGCCAGAAGAGAGTTATAGTTTGCCACAAGCTGACCAAGCGCTTTAGTTGTTGTTATCTTGTTGAAGCTCAAGTCAAGAACAGTCAGCTTCAGAAGTCTGTGCAGCCCCTCTATATCACTTATTTTATTACCAGCGAGGTAGAGCTCTTTGATGAGCGTACAATTTGACAAACCTGATGCAATTTGAAGCCAGAGACACATATTCAGGAGATCTTTTAATGATGTAAAACTGGGATATGTTGCAAGTCACCAGACAGAGACAGTTTATCCTTGGTGGAAGGTCTAGGGAAGTCACATACCTTGTCCAATTCGAGAGATTCTGTTGTAACTTAGGTCAAGCACCCGCAGACGTGTCAACTCCCTGAGTCCTTCAATAGTGTGGATCTTGTTCCTTGATAAA